CAGCTGTGTATTCTTTTCAGAGTTTGAAGGTGTATGTTTCTTTGTCAGTAGTGGATTGATCAGTAAAGTTCACTACATAATGAAATGAATACCAGCGGTTACAGTCTTTTAACATTCAACGCACTTTACATTAGGTTTCAGACATTACCCATTTACACATACATTTAAACCTCAATAGTGGGCCACAACTATATGATAATTAACCTTTGAAAATCTTGAATCTTAGAGTGCCAAACAGACATTATCCCAAAGCTATTGCTCAAACACACACACCGATGGTTTTGCCATCATTACGATTTCATCTTCAAAATTGTAAAGACCTCTTTGGACTTCGGATAAGAGAAGCAAAACATTTGACCACGGTCTTCTGATTAATGTACAACATGCTTTCTTTCGAGCCAAAGCTGAGATCATGTATGATTGTGTTCTATAATCTTACTGTCAAAATGGAAGTCTGCACTTAACACTGAGAGAAAAAGCCTCAGATTATTTTCAATTATGTGAATAGAAGTTAGGTCCAAGGGTCATCTTGAGATGAAGGTTTGCATGTTTAGCAAGTAGGAAAACTCATTGAAAGAATTGGTGTAAGGGTGTCCATGTTGCGGTATCTATATACTTTAAAGGTCCCATGTCATGCTTTTCCGGTTATACCTCCCCTTGTGTGTTAGAAGGGTTTTTATGCATGTAAACGGTCTGCAGAGTCAAAACCCTGCAAAGTACACCCCTTACGAGTAAACTCTACACAGAAAAATACTCCGATAAACACCCCTTGGTTGGAGATACGTCCACTGTCCTATGATTCTTAAAAACCGGGTACTCAATGATGTTCATAGGAAGCGTTACCCCCGGAAACCAAATCCGTGGAGCCGTTACGTTAAGCCCCCACTAGATTGGTCCCAAATTGACCATCCACCTGGACCTTCCTCACACACACCACTCAGTGCATGCAGCTCTGCTGATCTCCTTCCTCCCTGGCTTGCAGGCGCTACAGACCGTTTTTGGGATCGCAAGCCAAAAATTTTTTTTTTTTTTCTCTCTGCCGACCCATTCTCCTGCAGACCATTCTCCACAGCGTTAGCAACCTTTGTCTTTACCAAATCAGCCCACACTTAATGTTTTTACTTCGGCTGTGCTTTGTGGTGCCCAGGGTGAGAGTTTGGCTGTGTTTGGCTGTGTATCGCTAAACAAGGAAACCACACCTCCACGGAGCTCAGCGCGATTCACAACGTCCCAACCAATCAGAGCACACTGTGCTCACAGGGAGGGTGGGGGCTGGAGCTATTGGAGCTATTGGAGCTACAACGAGCCGTTAAAGGCAGAGAGTGAAATTCAGTGAATACACGTAGTTTACAGAGATGCTGTATGAGAAACCAAAGTGATTTTGGAAAATTGCACAATATAAATATATTCTAGTAGACCTCAACAATGGAATTATGATCAGTGGAAATGGCCATGAAATGGGACCTTTAAAGAAGTCCAGCACAAAAAAAACTGTCTTTGGTCACATTCAAGGAAATGTTCTTCTTGTGTTTGTCTCGCTTGCTGAATGTGGGGGCTGTCTAGCTGGCCCACCCCCCCTCCCTTCAGCCATACTCTGCCTTTTTTCTCTCTGTGATGAAGGAGTGGTGATGACATGTGCTAGGAGATGGAGACTGAGTTCCTAACCAGGCCAGTTATGAGGCAGTAAGTCCACCATTGATTATCTGTCCGCATCACTGCCTGGCCTCTTTTGTTTTCTCAAGCACACACTGGCACATACACAACAGTGGAGAGCACAGATGGGGGTGACCTTTCATCATCTATCCCTGTGGTGTCTATCATTACATGGAGGAACACAAATGCACACAGAAAAGGAGCTGCGATGGTGGTCAAAAGCCTCGAAGGGAGTTTGAATCTTAAAGATTGGGTTGGGTGTCCAAGAGACCGAAGCACATTCCTTGTTGTAGGAACTTGAAGGTTGCGGTGAAGGAGAACTGTATGTGCATTGTGACATAAGAACACATTCTGACAGGGAATGAGGAAATGTGCTTCAGGTCTGATGAAGGCAATAGGTGCATTGGTGTCAGTTTACTGGAATAAGAAAGTTTGATTAGAATCTAGTGGTTGGTTTGAGAATGGCGGGTCTACATTACATTACATTACATTGCATTTAGCTGACGCTTTTATCCAAAGCGACTTACAATAAGTGCGTTCGACCAACAAAATACAAACTTGAAGAAAACAGAATCATATAAGTACATCAGGTTTCATAGAGCTAAAACATTTCAAGTGCTACTCAACTGGCTTTTAGATAAGCCAGTCCTTTATTAGTATATGAGTGCTTTGTTAATAATTCTATCGCTCGAAGTGGAGTCGAAAGAGATGAGTTTTTAGTCTGCGCCGGAAGATGTGTAAACTTTCTGCTGTCCTGATGTCAATGGGGAGCTCATTCCACCATTTTTTAGCCAGGATAGCAAACCCACGTGTTTCGCTGATGGGAACTTGATTCCCCCTCGCAGCGAGGGTGCAGCGAGCCGTTTGGCTGATGCAGAGCGAAGTGCATGCGCTGGGGTGTATGGTTTAACCATGTCCTGGATGTAGGAAGGGCCAGATCCATTCGCAGCATGGTACGCAAGTACCAGTGTCTTGAAGTGAAAGGTGAGAACATGGCCTTGGGGAAGTAAGCAGGGTCTTAAGACAAAGAGCCAGGTAGGGCAAAAATAGATATTCACCTACAAAAGCCATCATGACAATACCCAACGTAGTGTCCTGGAGATTATAACCAGGGGTGGACATAACTTTTTTGCCCTGGTTCTCAAAGGAGCACCTGGAGATTTTGCTTGGTGCGCATCCTTAAAATGACATAAACTGAACCTTTTGAGGGGTAGTTGACTTTATTGAACGGCGCTAGTGAGTGGGGGAGGTGCGCTAGTGAGCACGCTCATGAACTGTTCGCTGTTCACTGTATGCTTCGCAGCAGGGTTACTGTGCGGAGCGCATAAAGCAGACCCTTCACGCGATAGTGAGGGGTAGAGCAAGGGATTGCAGATGCCGTCGCGCTCGCGGACGGATTAAAAAGATTAAACCTAAATGGCTCGCGAATTATACTTTGGCGGCCGTTAATATACCTGGGCGGCCCGCCCAAGTAAAGTCTATGTGTGGGAAACCCTGCTATTTTACCAGTTCTTATGCAACTCGCAAATATCTCTCTCTCTCTTCTCTCTTTTCTATCTCTCTCTTCTCTCTCTCTTCCCTCTTTTCTCTCTTTTCTATCCCTCTCTTCTCTTTCTCTCTTCTCTCTTTTCTATCTCTCTCTTCTCTCTTCTCTCTCTTCCCTCTTTTCTCTCTTTCTCTTCTCTCTTTTCTATCCCTCTCTTCTCTCTTCTCTCTTATCTCTCTCTTCTCTCATCTCTATTTCTCTCTCTCTTCTCTCATTTCTCTCTCTCTCTCTCTCTATGTTGGAGCGCAAATGCGCTTTTTTCAAATGATCCGGTGCTCCTTTTTTGGCAGGGGTTGCGCATGCGCACCGGCGCACCAGTTATGTGCAGCCCTGATTATAACCCTAACCCTTTAAAACAGGAATATTGACACTGAAAAGTGTTGAATCTCAGCCATCATTAATGATGTTAGTTACAATTGTTTATTTCGTGCTTTGACAAGTCAATTTGTTTGCAGTAGGGTCAACAGAAAGGAAAGAGGGCCCCATTCAAAGCGATGAATGTTCCTCACTGGTGACTATGCCATCAAAATAATTAATTAAAAGATCCTGGCCCACCTACACAACAAATATAAATGTTTTACATGGTTCACTTTTGCTTGATTTATTGGACGTTGTGTCTATGACATGCAGGAAAGAAAACGTTTTTTTTGTAAATTCATTTTTGGAAGAGACTTACGGTTTGAGCTGATTGCAGCCAGAATCACTTCATAGCCCAGTGCTGATCTCAGGGTTTGTTTTAACCTTTGTGCAACACATTACACTTTCTTCAATGGAAAAACCTTTGACATTGAATATATTACAGGCAGTGTTTATGGTTCCTGTAAATGGTATTTGGCAAAGCGAATCAGTGTGTTAATAAATGATGTAATAAAGAAACGTGTACCAGTAAAGTCTTGTCTTTCATAGACAAAGACTTTAACTGAAAAGCATTCTGGATAGCAATAGGTACACTGGGGGCGACACCTAATATAGTAAGAAAGGAACAATGTAGCATTAATGAAGTATAGATTTGTTTCCTTTTCATTTGGAGCAGCATAATAACAATAATCAATGGCGTACATTTCTCTGTATGCCAGCCAACACCTAATTACAGCTAATTACCAGCGGCTGCCATGCGCGATATGATGTGTCTTCTTTCTGTGAGCCATTCCCAGTAATTACACATATATCATGTCATCCAGTGAATCATTATTGCATAAAGGATCCCCTAGTGGCTCATTTTCCATTTGGCCAGAGGAGAGAAATGGCCCACATCCACCTGGACCAATGCTGTCAACCCAGGCCAATCCTCCCCATCCAGGCAAGGCCAGACTCCACCGAGCCAGGCCAGGCTGTAGGCTGGCATATGGGCCGGGCACTGCCTGCCAGGCTGCTGCCAACACTCAGGGGGCTGAGTTATTGTAGGGCAGCCTGCTCTTTGACCTAGGACAGGAACCACTTCAATCTTCACCTGCATGACAAACGATTGAAGGGAAGAAAGTGAAAGGAATAAAGACAAATGTGAAGGATTAGTACTTTTTTCTGGATTTTGTCGTTGCTCATTTTCTGTCTTAACTCCATCCTATTGCTATGGAAAATAATAAAATACAAAAATGCAGATTATAAGAATATTTGAAGATAATCGAAAGGAATCGAACCACAAATATACTAAAACAACTAAACCAAACGATCAATCAAGTCTTTAAACAGGCTGTTATTACTTTCTAAATAATCCATAAATCTTTCCGTATTTCCAATTGGTGCAACATGAAACCGTTTTGCTTCTTTACTTTTTGTCCAAAACTGTTACCAATGAGTATAACAAAACATTTACATTTCCTAATCTGCCGCCTCGCCTTTAAAGCTTTGGTTAGGTTTAGGCTAAAATGTCCTTGGTTAAGGCTTGTCAAGATCATGTTCATGGTTAAAAGAAACCAAATGGTATAAGACAAGATGTGAACTAGTGAAAAACTGGCGTAAAACGACATTGTGTTTCTCCAGAGACAGTGTTCCCGTCCGAATATGCCAAAGTGCTACCCTCAGCGTCGTGCAACGTTAAAAATGGTCACATACGCTGCGCTTAGAGTAAAAATGCAATAAATATTGCGGCTGTGATGACAGCTGTGTGAAACAGCCGAAATAGCAATGGAGTAACAATTAAAACATTTTAACTAGCTGTTTTCACCACAAGGCTCTGCCAGCAACCTTCGGGTTAGCAAAGAACAAAATTACGTATCATGTTTACTCAGCTTTACTATTTTGAAAAAACTTTTGGCTGCTTTTGCTTCGGACTCATGCCATTGTTCAAATGACATTCTCTATCTTTCTAAATGAAAGGGTTAAGGTCAGGGTTAAACCTCTATCCAACACCTAAACTTCTACATTCACCAGATTCGTCAAAATTGAAGTTAATTCCAAAGGATACTTTTGTAAAGGGAAGATTGGTATTCTGAAGTACTGTACTGCACTGTACCGCTCTGAGATTACTATGGAATCAATAGGAATAACAATGAAGCAAAGGAGGTCTATGGACAAGGTTAATTATACAAACTTGGCATTATGGGGCTTACCTCTTTTACTCATATGACCTACCCCTTCTCTCACTGTAGCCCTCCACAGTATGTTGGTGATGAGGTGTGGACTGGAACAGGCTGGCAGGTTTTACATTATAGTGGGGCTGAGAGACAGAGAGGATAGTGGCAAAAGAAGAGTATTTATGGAAGAGGCAGAAAGAAAATAAAACCAGTTTTGTGTGACAGAAGAAAAATGAAGTGGTATAGAGGTTGTTGGTGTGTGTATCTCTGCACATGTGCTGGGTGTGTGTGTGTGTGTGTGTGTGTGTGTGTGTGCGTGTGTGTGTGTGCGTGCGTGCGTGCGTGCGTGCGTGCGTGCGTGCGTGCGTGCGTGCGTGCGTGCGTGCGTGCGTGCGTGTGTGTGAGCTTTCTTGTGTGTGTATAAGTGTGTGTCTGTGTGTCAATCACTGAAAGAGAGAAAAACAGATGAAGATCTCAAGAAAGGGGAAACAAATAAAGAGAAGGGGTAACAAGTTAAAGAAGGCTGAAAGACAAGGAGTGATGAAATGCTGACGTGAGGTCAAACAGAGGTGAACTAAAGGGCATCTTTTGTGGGAGAGGCTGCAAGATAGGGGAACGAAATAATTGGATAAAAAGCAAGCGAAAAATAAGTAAAGTAAGGTAAAGATGAAATAAAGGGTGAAATCCAAGAAAACCTTTGAAATTAAGCGAACAGAATGATGGCTGTTAAAAATGGTTATCATGACATGTGATTGGTTGGTTATATTATGAATGCAATTTGAGTACCTGTCTACATATGGGCTTTTATATCATTCTGACCAAAATCTGTTATTGTCAATCAAGTTTGACAGATAAATATGTGCCATTGTTTCAGAATCAGGTTTATATGTATTCAATATGTGCAGTATTGTTAAGGAAAGTGGTAATCAGTCATCAGAACGACAATAGTGGAGGTTATCATTGTGTGTACGCCAGCTTATTACATTTGGTCAACCGGATCACGAAAGACTGTAGGGATGTAACGATACCAAAAACTCACGGTACGATAATATCGCGATAAAAAGTCCACGGCACGATATTTATCGCGATATTGAAAAATAAAGGAAAAAAATGTGATTTTTTTTTTTTTTTTTAAGTAAATAATACATCTGATTTGTACAGTATTTTAGTAGGATAGTAGTATTTTAAAGTGTCAACAATATAATAATCAGACCCTGCAATAGAATAAATCAAGTTTCACTTTAGTTTTTCAAGTAACTCGACTCTAACTCAGAGTTGAGTTAGAGTCGAGTTACTTGAAAAACTAAAGTGAAACTTGATTTATTCTATTGCAGGGTCTGATTATTATATTGTTGACACTTTAAAATACTACTATCNAGAAGTGACGTTTGAAAAAAAAGGAAGTAATATTTTAAAAAAAAGGAAGTGACATTTAAAAAAAAGAGTCAAGAAAAAAGGCATATTTAGAAGAAAAAAAGTCAAATTCTGAGAAAAATTGTGGGACATGCAGTTTATGGCCAACGTGCTTCTGTAAATCCTCATGTAACCGTGTAATAAACATATTATATTCTTTACAAGCTCTTGTGGGGCCACAGAAAATGATGTCACGGGCCGGATTTGGCCCCCGGGCCTTGAGTTTGACACCCCTGCAGTGGAGGCACAAAATACTAATATTAACCTGAAAATGAGCACAAAAGGGTCTCTTTAATTGATAAGTTGGTAATCAAAATAGAATTTGTCCCAATTAGAATTTGACGTCAAAACATTTGCTGGTTTAAGCCTGATGTAAAGTTCTGAGCCTTTTCTTCATCATGCATTTTACATTTTAACAAAATATCTTCAAACAAGAAACATGAAGACATTAACTTGGGCTGTGGGAAATTACAATAAATATATCATAACATGGATTTGTTTTCTCCTGATTTTCTATGTAAAGCTAATGAGACTGCTTATTTCCTTACACAGAACATGAGAAGGATCCCAAGTTTTGGAACATGTGGGCCCAGCGGACCCTGAAAGATGCTCTGTCACTACAAAGTCTCAATACAAACAAAGCGATGAATCTAATCCTCTTCCTCGGAGATGGTAAGCCACATTATCGATGTGTTTCCATCCTGACTAATGGCATGCTAATTATCTTCCCAAAGGCAGAAGGTAACCTTACTGCAGAAGAATTTAAATTGCGATAAACTCATCAGTAAAGACAAACTTTCCCTTTTGGCATTTTTATCGGATGATAATAACACTGCAGTTTGTAGCTTTATTAAAAAGCCACTTGTTGTCATAATTGCTGAAACTGTCAACCTGTAATTGCTCCATCTGGCATTTGCAAGATTTCATTGTGCGAAATAAAACCAATCATGGCCGGGTATTCTCAATCCAAATGTAATTCGCTGCTTTTGAAGTAGTTACTGCAAAAATAAGGAAGTTTGCTGCAGTCAGTGGGCAACTACTGTATGTCTGTTTTTTTATATTGTGGCCGGCTCAAAATATTTCTCCTTTTACAGCTTTTGAGTACATGTTTCTGAAAACATTTAAGATAAGAATTAAGCAATACACTAACATAATCTTGATTATATTGATCAGTGCGGCCTATTTTGACAGTCAGATTGGGCAGCAGTGATTGACCCTCTGCTCTGAGTGGTTTGGTCGGAGAAAAACAACTTTCATCCTTTATCTGCTATGTTTGGACTATAAGAACAACATCACATTCTTGCGCATGGATGCATTCACGGTCATGTTTGCGTAGTTAGAGAATAACAGGCAGCGTCTTGGGAAACAAACAAAAGTTGGAAACACATAACAGGGAATGTACGACTAACTATACAATTTATGACTTACTATAAACTGTTTCCCAGACATGATCTTCTTCTGAAAATTTAAGAAACGGGATCCAAAATTGCACAATAAACCGTTTCTTCTGTTTAACCTCGGGTTATGTGAAGTGTAGGCTTTGATAATGCATGGCAGTCTTCAAAATGATTTGAAGTGATCATAGACGAATGGAAACAATTTGTTTTTCTTTCTGAGAGCAAAGCAAAACTCGTGTTGTTTCCACAAGATGAGATCAACACTTGGCAGTTATTATGTTAAACAGTTCCTCAGTTTTTAACAAAAGTAAGGGTCATTCCAAGTTATAATACATTGAATATTTAGTGTATTTCTTTTAACAGTGTCTGCTTTGTTTTCTTGGATCTGTTTTTAAAGAAATTTGTATCTGAGAAAATGTTTTGCCTAACAGCAGCCAGCTTTTTCTAAAATGTCAAAGAAAACAACCGCCCCACATGCGTTGCAAGCTGAGGACAGCAGGGGAGGAAAAGTGTTGAAGTTTCTCATGTGCTGTTGCTTTCCTTCCCGCCGTGAGAAATATCTAACACTGGACCTGCTTTTGGTGTTTAGGGATGGGCATTCCCACGGTGACGGCTGCTCGAATCCTGAAGGGTCAGCTGAACGGACAGAGCGGAGAGGAGACGCAGCTGGAGATGGACAAGTTCCCTTTTGTGTCTTTGGCCAAGGTCTGATCATGTTTTATTACTATATAGTTTCAATATGACGCAATGTATTGATCTTATGGCCATTAATGGTTTCCTGTCAAGGCCTGTGACTTTAAACAAGGTCATACAGTGTGTCACATCGAATGCTACAGATTTTATGAGGAGAGCCAGAAATCATAAAGTAGTTTTATTATTATATACCACAGTCTAGCAATATTACATGTTTTTTTTACTGCCAAAAATCAGATGAAAAGATACAAAACAATCTTACTAACGAGTGCTGTCTGGACAGTGCATGCCTGTATTAGATCATAGACCTCCCTTGTCCAATAAATATTATAAAAAACCATTAATGAGACACCGATGTAAATAGATATACCACACATAGCCGACTTAGGCAAGTTCTGAAATTAAACATGTTTTTCCTTGTTACTGATTTATCATGATAAAAAAGTTACTTTAAATTAGTAACATCAGGTAACATAGGTGCAAAATAATGCCTCCTATGTGAATACTACCGGAAAACCAACCCTGCAACTTAAATAAACTGAAATTTGTGCAATATTACAGTTGACTAACCCCATTTGTTTAATCCAGAGAAAAACGGGGTTTGTGGATTTTTCCAAACATTAAAGAGTTGGACTCAAGTCAAATCAAATATTTTAATTGGTGTGATTTATAATGGTACCTGCTGTGTAAAAAGTAATTCATGGTGAATCTAGAATCAAAGACTTCATGTGAGGCACATTTTTCTGCTGCTGATGTAAAATGGAAAAAAAAATAGGACCTCACACATTTCTTTGGAACATTTGGTGGAATTGCTTTTGTGCCTTTGCCAATACGCCATGCAAATAGCCAGAACAGCAAAAAGGCAAGTTATTTTTTATCTAGAGACAACACATCCTTCCTGTTGTTATAAAAAGTGCTATGATGAGTATTGCTAGGCAGCTAAAAAGACTGTGTGTGTGTGTGTGTGTATGTGTGCGTGTGCGTGTGCGTGTGCGTGTGTGTGTGTGTGTGTGTGTGTGTGTGTGTGTGTGTGTAACCTATACAAAGGCTAAGAGATGGATTGATAAGATGTTGTTGTTGGGTTCTTTCATGGGATTTGCTTACAATTAGAATATCCCAAGCTTTACTTATTAGTAAAGTATTTTAACATATTGCTATTATAGGAAAATCACCTGTGCAGTTAGTGTCATGGCTTAACAAATTACACAAACACACTAACAAGTCTGTAGACAATGATCCTAGAAAGACTATAAACGTCCCTGTTATATGAATTCTGACCACATGTGATGTCCTGGTACTCTGCAGACATACAACACTAACGCCCAGGTGCCGGACAGTGCTGGCACCGCCACAGCGTACCTCTGCGGGGTGAAGGCCAACGAGGGCACGGTGGGCGTGAGTGCAGCTGCTGTCCGAACCCAGTGCAACACCACACAGGGCAACGAGGTCACCTCCATCCTCAGATGGGCGAAGGAAGCAGGTAGAGTGACACCAAATAAACATAACACTTACTTTTTTAGTTTTATTTCTTCTGGGAATTTTTCATGTTTGCAACCAATTATGCGTCTAATGTCCGAGGATCTGGTTGTAGTTGAATGCTGTGTTAATGGGAAGTTGGAAATGGGAATACTCACTGAGGCTACTTAATCGCTCAAAGCTAAGTCTTTGAAGTGCTCTTGAAAGTGATTGCCCTAAAACATGTTTTTCAACTATGCTCGTTCCCCTTTCAGCTGTTCATCCTTTGAACCAGAGTTATCCTGCTGTGGAAAAAACTTAACCCAAAGAGCTTTTTCTCATGTATTAAAGAGACACTGTCCATCTGATTGCCCCTTGAAATAAAGTTGTATTAGGATTTAGTTTTATTTTTTGTTTTGATGTGTCTGCATCCTTGATTTAGATTTCAAGTTGGTGTTGGGTTAGAAATGTTTTGACTCAAATAGAGTTGTTTAATGGGCTTTTTCAGATAAAGATACATGTAGGCAAAAAATACCAAGAAATCCCCTAGTCAATCTCTTATAATATAACTGAAATGCCTTTATTTTCATAGCATATTACCGTTAAATAAAACATAAAACAAGCAGTACAGCATTAAGTCTTAATCAGGAAGTCAAAATATTGTAAACTTGAAAAAGTACTTTATTTTTAGAATTGTTAAAAAACCATTTACACAAGTGTTTATAAATCTCAATAATTAATCAAAGGTTGTAGCCAAAACCCAATAAAGAGCCACATCTCAAAGAGTCCCAAATGAATGACCTCTGATTTCCCCCTCCAAGGACACAGCATGGTGTTATTCACTCTGTTTCAAAAACCATGAGACAAAACAAGTCAAAGCGCACCACAAAAAAGGAAAGGACTGATGGTTTTTCAGAGGGTGTAGGGGGTACTGGGTGAGGGTCAGGGTGTGTGTGGGTGGGGAGGTCACAGATAATAAGAAATCCAATTATTGCTCTGGAAATAAAGCAGGCAGCAGCTGACCTCTGGCAGAGAGTGAAAAGGAAATTTGAAAAGTGATTTCCATCAGGTCATTTAGCTAGATTGTCCTCTGCTGGTTTTGCTAAGATTTATAACCACAACAAAAATAGTTGTAGGTTGTTATTGTCCTCTACTGGCTGTGAAGGGATTGCTTCCTGTACGGGATGGAAGACACAATTGTCACTCCTTGTTCAATGCAAATGTGCATTTCAGTTTTAACCAAAGCTAATATGAAGCTACAGGACTAGAAAATCAACTGAGCTATATCCAAAGTTACAGTTATTTAGATATGAAACTCTCTCTTTGTGTTACTATCCCTCCATTGCAGCGAAGAAACCTTGCTCAGGGAAACACAAAGAGGGAATTCATCTAGGCCTGAACATGTTGTTTAATCAAAAACGTTCTCAGCCTTAATTCACAGCTGCCTATGTGTGTGTGTGTGTGTGTGTGTGTGTCCACTGCAGGCAAGTCCGTGGGAATAGTGACAACGACCCGTGTCAACCATGCGACTCCCAGCGCTTCTTACGCCCACAGCGTGGACAGAGACTGGTACTCCGACAATGAGATGCCAGCTGAAGCTCTGAGGGACGGCTGCAAGGATATCGCCAGACAACTCTTTGAAAACATTCCCAACATTGATGTAAGTCAAGAGTATAAACCCTGATACACAACTTTTATCAGCTTATCCTATTAGTATGTCAGAGAGCCTTCTGGGTTTCAGATTATGATTTTCAATTCATTGGGGTCTATTGAGAACCTTTGTTGACACTTTGACAATCACCAACATTGGACTTTTGACCCTTTTTCGGAGTTATAGAAAAAAAAGAAAAAACATAAACTAGCACTTTCCATTGTGTAGTAACAGTTATTTCCCCAATATTGAAGAGCTGGCCCTGTATCTTACTATATCAGAGTGTAAGCGGTTTAGCAGTAGCGGTGTAGCAATAGCGGTTTAGCTTTAGCAATTGTGCTGGATTTGGAGAAGTTTACACTCCAACAACCCAGCGAATATTTCAAATAGACAAACCAAATCAAATACATAACTTCAATAATGTATAAATGTAACCAAATATCTCCAAGCACGTAAACATTTTCCTTTATCATACTTGAGTGAAAGGATTAACTCTAGTTTAATTAAATAGCTAGCTACAACTAACATAATCTGCCAACCATGGTAGTCATTTGAGCCAACTATAGAACAGTAATGACAACGATGTTTATTTTCTTATTCTTTTCTTGCCACTTTCTAGGTGATCATGGGTGGAGGGAGAAAGTACATGTTCCCCAAAAACAAGTCAGATGTAGAGTACCCCAACGTTTTGAAGCACAGCGGCACACGAAAAGACGGAAGAAACCTGGTGGAGGAGTGGACTGACAGAATGAAGGATAAAGTAAATTTCGCCTCCTCTTTCCTCTCTTTGCTCCTTTCATTTCTCTGCTCTCTCTTTTATCTTCCCAATTACATTTACATATTCAGGAGTTCAAAGTGACTGCAGTGTTAAGACACACACTGTTGTGCTGTACATTTGTGTCTTTGTGCAGAAAGGTTATTATGTGTGGAACAAGAAGCAGCTCTTATCACTGAACCCTAACAACGTGAATTACTTATTGGGTGAGTTTCTAGTCCTAGCTTCATTATAAAACTCTCCTTGAAGTTCAGAACAGAGAAAGTGTTTTCTGTAGGCTTATTTCCTGCACTGTGCTTGATGTTTTTTAAGGTCTTTTTGAACCTGCGGATCTGCCGTACGACTTGGAGAGGAACACTGAGACTGATCCCTCGCTGACAGAAATGGTGGAGGTGGCCATCAAGATCCTGAGGAAGAACCCTAGGGGATTTTACCTGCTTGTCGAGGGTGAGTTTGTGGTGAAATTGGACTTTCTACATTTATTTTGGGACCAGTTTCCAAAAGATCTATCAGACTGGTCTCGTGACTTTATTACAGGCCAGTTTCTTTTGGAAACAAAATAGATTTTAAGGCCAGTAGGACTTCTGATACAGTTGCTAGTACCCAATGTTTTTTATTAGGATTATGAAAGAAACCATTTCCAAACCATCAACCGTCTGATTGGTAGGCGACCACTCTACCTCAGAGCCACTGTCAAAGTCAACTTTATTGTCAATCTTTCAGTTTGTGTGTACAGACAGAGAGATCGAAATACCGTTTCACACAATCCCGAATACAAAATACAAATATATATAAAAATATGTATACAAATATGTATATACCTATACACAATCGATAGACACATTTATACATATGCACACATTAAAACATAAATAAAAGCACAACAAACAATATATACGAAATAATCACTTCAATATCTTTGAGAAATGTACACGATGCAGTTAGGGGATGGAGACCCAGTCATCAACCCTCTGAATTGTCCACATACTCACTAAGGCCGACCAAATAAAAGTATAACATGTTTAGGAGTAATGAATGAGAATGGAAAAATATCTGTGAAGTTTCTCCTGAGGTGCATTATGCATTCCAATTTCGGGAGTCTTTTTTTCCCATTTTCTTTATTAAAAAAAAAAAACAGACTTATTTATTTTGCCCAAAAATATTCAACATCAAATTATTTTTTACTTATTTTATATTGGCTACCAGACCATGTTGTGTTCACAATGTAGCAAGTTTCAATGAAGCATCAGTGATTAAAGTTGGTGTAGTTGCTATGTTCCAAGTCTAACCCTGCTGCCAATGTTTACTTGTGCCTTCAAAGGAAAGTATTTTGCAGCAGTTAATAAAATATGACATTCAGTGGCACCTACTTGGAATAGAAATGAAAAACATAAAAGCCATAAAACGTCGAAAGGCAGGAAATACACTGAGATGTAAAACAGCACTGATGAACTATATAAAAAAAGAAATTGAAATATGGTAGTTTGTGGTTTAAAACATCTGTTGCTGTTTATTCTTGGCAGTGAATGCAGGAGCAAAAGAACATGGTGGTCTGGTTATATGAACATCGACATTGAAGCTGAGAAATGTCTGAATGGCCAATGTTAGCACAATATTAGATATAGAAGGCACAGGATGGTTGTTGATCGCTATTTTTCCTTGGTTGAATCTGTTGAAAGAAGCTTGGTTACAGTTAAACACCTGCAAGTATGATAGTGATTGTTCTGGCAGCCTGAGAGAGGATAAAGAGGGTCAGTATGTTTCAGACAGAGTAATTGTCGGATCATCTGAAGGATGGTAAAAGAGGGTGCCCACACCTTTTTTACACGGTTTTCTAAAGGGGCCTTCCGGAATTTACAATCTGAGAAATCATGCCCTGATTGCAGAATGAACGGTCAGTGTATGGAGGGGAGACTTGAGGCTATGATTTGAACTTCTCAATCTAGCTTTGACATTCAGAGAATAAATATAGTCACAACTAATTGCTATGTTGGATACAGTGGTGTAGTTAGCCACTAGCTAAACTAGGCTCATCACTTCTACACGTTGTGAAAAAGTCTGTGCTGAAGTTCTTGTTCTATGATGTTTAATAAAGAAATAAAACAAACCATAAATACAGCAGCACTATATGATAAACTGAAAATATCCGAGCCAGCTCATCCTCTTTTACCTCATTCACACCAACGCAACTCCGGTTCAAGCTCCGTGCTAGAGCTTTTCAGGTTCAGAACCGGTTCTTCGGTTTAGCTCCGGCTCTTTTCACACTGCCCAGAGTCCGACTGGTGCTGCGTCATTGCGTCATCGTTTGCTTCATGTCGTAACCGTTTGCGTGCCTGCTTCATAAAGCCAAAACGCGCGGAAACCCCTCACAGCTGACACCGACAACAACAACAATGGCCGATTGTGCTCCAGCTTCCTCTGTACCTCTTCAGAAGAGCAGATTCCCAGTAGGTAGCTGGTCTCTTCAGTGGACCACTGCTGCTTGTTAAGTTTCTCCATCGTTGTGTACGAACTGAATAAAACGCCGGCTTTTTGTTGTTGTTCAGGAGTTGATCCCACCCCTGCTCCCGCCTCGACGTAAGCGTGACATGCGGTGCTTTTGCTCTGGCCGGACAATTTTTTGGTGCTTGAAACGAACCGGATTCCGGAGCTAAGAGGCTGCTCCGCTGCGGTGTGAAGAGGAAAACCCGGTGCTTTTCAAGCTCCAGCTCCGAACCGGCCCTGAAACACCGTTGGTGTGAATGAGGTATTAGTAACAGGCTTTTGCCCCGGTGTTAGATGCCCAGCGATGTGACAAAGTAGTGTTTTTTGGAAAAGCTGGCAATGAGAATGGCTCCCAACTGGGGTCACAAGGTACAATAGAGGGCATTTATTGTATGAGCCCAAAGCCCAGGCTGCATTGTTTTCTATGAATAATGCTGCATTCCTTCAAGGTTAGGCCTTGACCTTAAAATGTTTTACCACTAAGCACAGCATGACAGACATAATCATATTCAAATCTCATAGGTAACTCGACTTATTTAAAACTGACAAATACAAAAGGTCGAATTTATTGAGATTGTGTTTAGCTGTCTTGAGGGATCTAATAAACTGGAAAGCTGTCATGCTCCCTATAAAACACCGCAACGCCTTTACTTTGAAAATTGTTAGCGGAAGCGCTGGTGAGCTCACCTCAGCTAGCTTGACAGCTAGCCTGGGCACCGAGAGTCTTCTTGGTGCCGCTGATAAAACGGTATTGTGCTGGGCTTTCCCCTCCATCCCATCCTTCCTTTGAGCAATGCGTTGTTAGGCAGGGAGGTGAGAGGAGCCCGGCTCTTCACTCCTTCAGGCTGCTCGGGAGCCATGGCGGGGCGGACACTGAGGAGGAAGCAGCGGGTCCACGGCAGCAGCTCTGAGGAGGAGGGATCCATGTTAACGTTACCTGCCGCCCAGCCACCGCTGTTACTGGCGGAACACACTGCTGACGGCTGTTGAAGTTTCACACACATCTTCTGCTTTATAACAGCTGCTTCAACTCTCCCCTCACTGCTGTTTAATAATGTCTCCGGGTTCATAGCGCACAGTTTTTTCTACTTCTCTTAGCTTCCAGACAGAACCGTTCCGTGTGTCCGGTAGAGACCTCTGTCCCCCGGCGTAAATCTGACGTACTGTCCCGCAGTGGCTCATAGAGCGCCTCTTTAATATATCAAAGTCGGTTGGGGTTAACATGGGGGCAAAGCAGAGCAGCCCCACCTCTAACCCGGCTGCTAACGGACGGACCAGAGCCTACTCCGGCTCGGACCTGCCCTCCAACACGTCCAGCAGCAACGGTAACAGGACCACCACCGGGGGGGTGAGGTACCATGGTTACAGTGCGTCCGTAGCCTCGTCCAGCACCAGCCAGCACCATGGAGCCAGGGCCCGGTCTGCGGGGGGGTCCGGAGGCCCCGGGACCCGACCTCAGTCCGGGATAAACATTCCCAACAGCAGCGGAGCCTACAGCTCACAGGAGTCCGGGGGGAGCAGCCCGGAGGAGGCGGACCGGCAGCGGGCTGGAGGGCAGGAGGCTCCCCGGCTGTTGATAGGATCTCTACCAGCACACCTCTCGCCTCATCTGTTCGGAGGTAAGAGGCAGACCCAGCGGGTCACTGAACTGCAGGGACTCTGACACAGAGGTGGAGAAGTACCAGAGTGTATGAATACTCTGTTACAAGTCAAAGTTAAAATTCAAAAGTATAAGCATCAAAATATTCCTTATGTAGCAAAAGTAAAAGTAGTCAGCGTGCAAATTGGTCCATTTCAGAATAATATGATATGTTTTATAATGATTGATCATTAAAGTGTTCTCAAAGCTGGTAAAGGTGCAGCTAGTTTTAATGACTTTGTATACTGCAGTGCAGGCCAGGGTAGCTTGTGAATTTGTGAAGGAATTGTGAAAATTGTGTTGGAGGTGTGGCTCTGTAAGGAAGCGGCAGATTTTTTCCGGCTGGGTATTTTCAAATTCTAGCGCACTCGAGCTGGTTTCTCCAAAATTACCTAGCCCACCTTTAATACAAATCTGTAAAGTAACTAAAGGTATTACATAAATGTAGTGGAAATAAGTAGGCTACAAGTATCTCAAAATTGTTCTTAAGTACATGTACTTAGTTACTTTACACCACTGCTCTTACACTAATGTGTATCGTATCGTCGTAATGGTTTCTGCCGGGACATATTTTAGGATGGAGCCAGCCATTGTCAACACTATGTTATGGCAGTTTCTGAGGCCATGACCCCAAGTCCACCCCCAAGCTCACATTAGAAATGTTTTTATCAGATAAACAATTAAAACGTTGATAATGCATAAAGTGTTTCACTTATTCGTATTTGTGTATTTATTCATATAGTAAATCGTGCAATTACTTTAATTCTTTGTACATTTTATTTTCCGTCTTTTATAATGTCTCTGCACTGGTCAAAATAGTGAAACTAAAATAGGTTTTTCAAAATCATTTGATAGATCTGTGTATTAGTTTTATTAAGTTGAAAAACTCCCCCAGGTCACTAAAACTGGAAAAAATGGAGGAAAGTTACAGTTTTACTCTGTACCACTGTACTACTACTCAGTCTGACCCCCCCCCCCAATAACACCTTTACACCAAGTACCCTCTCATTGGGTGGTTCAGGGCTCATTTTCATACAGAAAGAAAGGCAGTACATCCAGGTACGAAAAGTCAACACTTAAGTAGGCTATTACATTTTTATTGTAGTCCTTTTAAAAAAACATTGAATGTGGCCTCTTGACAAAACAAGCAACTTAAAGGTCACCTATTATGCATAATCCACTTTTTCATGTTTTTAATAATAATAGTAATAGTAACAGTAATAATAATAATACATTACATTTATAAAGCACTTTAGGTGCTCAAAGCGCTCACAAGCAAGTAAAACAAAAATAACAACAAAAGTAGAAAGTGCTAAGCTAGGTGGAATAAGGGCAAGGGGTTAGTTGATTAGGAGTTGAAGGTAAGAGTGAAAAGGTGAGTTTTGAGGGATTGTTTGAATGATGTGAGAGTGTTGGTGGATCTGACGTGGCTGGGGAGGGAGGTCCAGAGTGTGGGGGAGGAAGCTGCGAAGGCCCTGTCACCCCAGGTCCGGAGCTTTGTCTGATGGGCTGCAGTAGGTTAGCTTCAGCAGACCTGAGGCGACGGGTGGGGGTGTGTCGTTGGGTGAGGTCACAGAGGTAGGGGGGGGCAAGGTTGTTGAGGGCTTTGAAAGTGAAAAGTAATATTTTAAAGTCAATGCGGTGTTTGATGGGGAGCTAGTGGAGGTCATGGAGGATAGGGGTGATCGGTGGTCGGAGCGTCGGGTGAAGGCGAGCAAGCGGGCAGCTGAGTTTTGGACATATTGAAGTTTTTTTAGTGTGAATGCAGGTGATCCAAAAAGTATGCTGTTGCAGTAATCCAGTCGGGATGTTATAAAGGCATTATTGGGGAATCTTATGTGTTGTGATGTTTGTGTTGGAGCCGCTTCATCCAAAACAGCACTCCGGTTAGAGAGTTGACACGGAGACCGGAAGTACAGTCGTTGGACTTTATATTAGCTTGGTTCTGATCATCAACACAGAATACATCATGTTTGATGTGGAATCACATACAGGATGTCGAATGGGTTTGATGAGGATGATGATAATGAGAATGAATGTAGAGTAGAGATGAATGAATGTAGAGTAGAGATGAATGAATGAATGGTTTCTGCAAAATACACAGAAATAGCAACAAGGTTCACATTACAATAACTAACCAGACTCTGGTTATTAATAATTAGCAACAGCGATAGACACGTTGCAAACACACACATGGCTAATCATGGCTAAGTTAGCATCTCATCCACACACTGGCCGTTTCTCAATCTCGAGGATACTGGCTTCCAAGCCAATATTTCAAGGATACTACGTCATCGAGTGCGGCCGAAGGACTGTTCCAATCTCCAGCATACTTGGAATTCCACCGAGGCCGCGTCCTTGGTTTGGGGGAAATTTCGAGGCTGCACATGGGTAGACTTTGCGTCCTTAAAATCCCCACAATGCTTTGCGCACGGACCAATTTCAAAAACCCTTGCGGAGAATGGCTGAACCGACGCAGCACATAGTTAATGTAAGTGTGTAGTGCGCAGGACATGTGTGGTAAATATGTTACTTGTTACATTTGGTTTGTTTATCACCAAAAATGTGTTCGTGAAAGTAAAGGCAAGTTCATAAATTACGATGACATCGTGAGGTATTTATTTTCGGTACAGTTTATGTTTGGAAATCGTTAGAGAGAGTGGCACACTTGTTAGTCGTGTTCCTATTCTTCTTAGTTTTCCGAAGCCGGGCTTGGAAGCATCTGGCTTCGTTTCTGAAGAAGTGACTTGGAAGGTACGCGAAACCAAGCCAGCATCCTCGCGTTGAGTAACGGCCACTATCACTGAATAGCTTAACTTAGCTAATATAGCATTAGACTCCATTTCTGAACAACATAGCAGCTAAAAAGGGACATCAATAGACTCATTACACACTGGACTCAGCATTACAATGTTATAACATTACCAACACTTAACAGATCTGGCGGGCTCACATTCTTCCACGAACGCACTTCTCTCTTTGAAGATCCGTAATTATGCAGTTGTGACGACTGCAACCGTCAATAATGTCCTGTCCTGTGAACGCACATGTGTAACCAAGCCCCATGAATGCGCCGCGAACTCGATGAAAATATTCGTGGTGCCAAATGCGTCTACACTTCCGTTTTGGTGCCAGGCCCGGAAAAACACTTTTCCCATTGACTGTACATGGGACCAAGAGGGTCTGTAAAATCGTTGGGATAATTTTTTTTAAAACTAAGATAAACTACCCAGTATGAACACTTGGATGGCCTTATAAAACATTCGTTCCTCAAGTTGTAAAAATGTGCTAATAACGTTATTCTGAGAGTTATTTCCCTCTGCATTAGAACTCGCATTCTAACCCCACGGGACCGCGCCGCCCGGCACGTTCATGTGACGTGTTCAGCACTACATGCCGTTTATCTTTTACCTTGGGGATGTATGCACAATAAAGGAAGGACCATATCGCCTTACTGC